TGCGCCGCTGCCTCCGGGCCAACGCGCTGGTGTTGCTGACCGTGGCAGCTGTGGTGGCCGGCGTGGCGCTGGGGCTGGGGGTCTCCGTGAGCCCCGAGCGCCGGGCCGCCTTCGCCTTCCCCGGGGAGCTGCTGCTGCGCCTGCTGAAGATGATCATCCTGCCGCTGGTGGTGTGCAGCCTGGTGGGCGGCGCCGCCAGCCTGGACCCCACGGCCCTGGGCCGGCTGGGCGCCTGGGCCCTGCTCTTCTTCCTGGCCTCCACCCTGCTGGCCTCCGCGCTCGGGGTGGCGCTGGCCTTGCTGCTGCGGCCCGGCGCCGACTCCGTCGATGCCTCGGTTGGGGCCGCCGGCGATGTCCCACAGGCCAGCAAGGAGGTGCTCGATTCCTTCCTGGATCTTGTGAGGTCAGACACCCCACCCCTCAATCCCACCCGATCAACCCCAAACCCCATCCCACCCCATCACTCCAGATCCCCACCTCATCACACACACCCCCACCCCACAACCCCGGAGTTCCAGGGGGTACCCTGCGCTGGGCAGAGCCAGAGCACCATGTGGACTGGAGGAGACTTAGAGACACGGAAGTGGATGGGGCCAGTGTTGCGGGGGGGGGGGGGGGGCAGACCTTGCCCTTTCGTGGGTGTTGAGGACAGGATCAGGGGCAACAGGGTTTAGCAGGAGCTCCCCCACCCACGGGAGGGGGTCTTTGTGAGTCAGGAGAGCCAGTGAAGAGGACCCGAGGGACATCCCCAGCTCTGGCTGTGGGACAGAAAAAGCTGTATGGGGACCCCAAAAACAGTTATCCATGCCCATTGGGACTTCCTGACCAGCCAAGGACTCTCATGAGAGCAGGTGAGAGCTTCTCCCCCCCCCCCCACTTCCCAGGGCTGCTCAGACCACTTATCTCCAGATCCAGTTAGCTTTACTTTATTTTGCTCAGCCTTTTCCTCTCCTGATTCATCAGGGGGCCAGAGCATCCTATGAGATCAGCCCCGTATCCCCTTTCCCACTTCCCTTCCTCCTCTGCTTTTCCCGTGGAGCCCCCAGAGCTGGTAGCTTAGAGCTTTGGTGAGGAAATCTGTTGGGTTTTTTTGTTTTTTGTTTTTTTAGTCCGGTCCTGGGGCCTGAACTCTAGGCCTGGGCGCTGTCCCTCAGCTCTTCAGCTCAAGGCTAGCACTCTACCACTTGAACCACAGCGCCACTTCCGGCTTTTTCCTTTTGCTTATGTGGTGCTGAGGAATCAAACCCAGGGCCTCAGGCATGCAAGGCAAGCGCTCTACCACTGAGCCACCTTCCCAGCCCTGGTGAGGAAATCTGATGTGTTGTTTTGACTTTTGCTTTTTTCCACCATGCTCGTGTGTGTGTGTGTGTGTGTATGTCTGCATGCACCTGTACTGGGGCTTAAACTCAGGGCTCAAGGCCAGGACTCTACCACTTGAGCCACAGCTCCACCTCTGCCTTTTGGTAGTTCATTGGAGAGAAGAGTCTCACCAACTTTCCTACCCCAGCTGGCTTTCAACTATGATCCTTAGATCTCAGCCTCTCGGGTGGCTGGGATCTCCCGGCTACATAGCCACATATAGGAGTCTGATGCAATGTCTGCAGGTTGGGGACTTCCTGGAAGTGGGGACAGGAAGTGGTGAGGCACATAACTGAGTATTCTTGCCTCTAGGGGCCTGCTGACGCATTGGAGGCTGGGTTTGCATGGTCACAGCTGGGAACCTAGAGCTTCTGGAGGAGAGAGATTAGCTGGGTTCAGGAGGTGGGCACACCCACCTGAGGCTGTTTGTGAGGACAGGCCTCACCCAGGGCCTAAACTGTGGGGCACCTCCAAACTTAGCTGGAACATCTCACCAACTGACACACCCCCTGGTGGCCGGAGGTGCCCTCAGAGAGACACGTGGCCTTCCACCAGCTGTTACACACCCATTAACCACCATCATCTACCAGGCCTCAGAACACTGCAGCTGGGAATGATGGCACATGTCTATAATCCCAGCTGCTGGGGAGGTAGAGGCAGGAGGATCATGAGATTGAGGCCAGCCTAGGTAGGTAGCTAGGGAGACTTGTCTTCAAACAAAAACAAAGGGGCTGAGGGCCTGGCTCAAGTGTGTAGAGCCTTTGGGGCCCTAGATTCAATCCCCAGTACTTGGGCAGAACAAAGCTAAGTAGGAAAAGTAGGAAGATCACAAGTTCAAGGCCAGCCATACACACACACACACACACACACTCACACACACACACAAAGATTCTGGGAGTAGGGCTGGGAAGGTGGCTCAGTGGTAGAGCGCTTGCCTTGCATGCATGAGGCCCTGGGTTCGATTCCTCAGCATCACATAAGCAAAAAGAAAAAAGTTGGAGGGGCTGGGAAGGTGGCTCAGTGGTAGAGCGCTTGCCTTGCCTGCCTGAGGCCCTGGGTTCGATTCCTCACCACATAAGCAAAAAGAAAAAAGCCGGAAGTGGTGCTATGACTCAAGTGGTAGAGCGCTAGCCTTGAGCTGAAGAGCTGAGGGACAGTGCACAGGCCCAGAGTTCAGGCCCCACGACTGGACCCTCCCCAAAAAAAAGAGAGAGAAAAAAGTTGGAAGTGGCGCTGTGGCTCAAGTGGTAGAGCGCTAGCCTTGAGCTGGAGAGCTGAGAGACAGCGATTAGGCCCCAGGACCGTACCAAAAAAAAAAAAAAGATTCTGGGAGTAATGGCTCCAGAGGCAGCTTCTGGTTCAAATCCCACCTCTGTCACATTCCACCTGAGCAAGGCTTTGTTTGTGCCAGCCCTGGAACTTGAACTCAAGCCTTGGGCCTCTGTCCTTGAGCTTTTTCACTCTACCACTTGAGCTACAGCTTTGCTTCCATCTTTTTGCTGGTTAATTGGAGACAAGAGTCTCATGGACTTTTCCTGCTCCCAGGCTGGCTTCGACATGTGATCCTCAGATCTCAGTCTCTTGAGTAAACTAGGATGGCAGGCGTTGAGCAAGTTTCTTGCTTTTGGCTACCTCAATTTCCAATCCCTGGACTGGGGCCAGGATGGTATGAGTTGGTTTATGTACAGCATTAGACTCCTTCCCGCAGAACAGCCTCACAGCAATCCCCTGTCACCCAGCGTGACCTGATCTTTGCTGCATTCCATCACCAGCCCCTGGGGGACCAGGCCTGCAGGAAGCGGCTGATGCAAGCCTGGCCTGAGTGACTTATTCCAGGCAGTGGGTGGGGCTGAGGCCAGGGTGACCCGGCCCTTCCACCCAGACCATGCCCCTCAAATTCAAGACCACGCCCCTGTCACCCAGACACACCCCATCCACCCCAGGCCCTTCCCGCCCTGGCTCCACCCTCCATGCCCCGCCCCCACCCCTACTGCCTCTGAGCCTAACATTCTTTACCTCCAACCCACAATCCTGCCAACCTTCTCAGGCCAGCTCAGGGTAAAGGGGTGCAAGCAGGCTCCATTGCCTGGTTGGGCATGGGTAGGTCTTGTACGGGTAAAGATGGGGACTTGTTCCCATCCAGCCCTCTCCTGGCAAAACACACCCCTGTTTCCCCTCAATCCCCCCACAGCGCCTTATGGTATTCTAATAGCCCCTGTGTGTCTTATCTCTGCAGGAATATCTTCCCTTCCAACCTGGTCACTGCAGCCTTCAGATCTGTGAGTCTCCAGGGAGGGGAAGTTGTCCCCTGGCTGGGGCGGAAGTAAAAACAATCTTTGTGGCCCTGTCCACCTGAGAGTATGCAGCCCTGAGATCCATCCGGGCTTTTCCCTATGAGGAAATGAGAATAAGGGGGTGAAGTTTGGGGGAGCAGCAAGAAGCTACTGAGTCCTGAGGCCCTAGGTTTGGACCTGGGCTCCATTACCTCCTCTGGTTTTTCTACCTGGTGACAACAGCTTTACCTCTGAGTCTCAGCTTCTACTTCTAAAAAGTGGGGTATGATAAAAGCTGATGGTTGAAGCCGGGCACCGGTGGCTCATGCCTGTCATCCTAGCTACTCAGGAGGCTGAGATCTGAGGATCATGGTTCAAAGCCAGCCCGGGCAGGAAAGTCCGTGAGACTCTTATCTCCAATAAACCACTAGAAAACCAGAAGTGGTGCTGTGACTCAAGTGGTAGAGCTGAAGAGCACAGGGACAGTGCCTAGGCCCAGAGTTCAAGCCCCATGACTGACAAAAAAAAAAAAAAAAAATGACGGTTGAGTTTAAAGGAGGTTCAAGGTGGCTGGGTGTGGTAGTATACACGTTTAATTTCAGCTCCTGGAATTAAAAGACCAGGTTGGGTAAAGTTCCCCAGACCTTGCCTCATAAAACACCAGTCCCCCAGAGCAGGAACATCTGTGAGACTCTTATCTCCAATGAACCACCAGAAAACCAGAAGTGGTGCTGTGGCTCAAGGGGTAGAGCACTTACCTTGAGCTGAAGAGCTGAGGGGCAGCACCCAGGCCCAGAGTTCAAGCCCCAGGACTGACAGGGGCGGGGGGGGGAGCCCTTTTGATTACATTTTTTGTTTGGTTTGGTTTTTGGAGCACTTACATAGCAGGTGCCAGTGCCTGGGTTTGGCCCCCAGTACTGAATAAGAATCAAAATATGTAGGTGGACGTGGAGCACAGTTGGCTCCTGGGTGGGATGGGGGCTCCTCCATGTCAGTTCTTACAGGATCTTCCTGGCCCTCTCTCCCACAGTACTCCACTCTCAGTGATCGGAGCAACCAGACCCAAATGAACGGGACTCAGGTGCAGGTGAGTGCTGGCTGTTCTCCCTCTCAAAGCTGTGTCCCACCTCAGCCTCCCTCTTCTCTCACTCTGTCCCCCCCCACGCCCCCGCCGCCTCCACTGCCCTATCCCTGCCCCTCTGCCTATTCTCTGTCTTCCTCCGTGGGTCAGGCTTGTTCCTAAGTGCCAATCTGGGGGTGCACCGTTTTAGGCCATTGCCCGTTTTGTTTCCTCTTGGTAGAACCGTCTTCCCACCCTCATGCCCTGGTTCATTCCTCCTGTCCTTCAGGCTCAACAGATGTCTCTTCCTCCAGGAAGCCCTCTGTGATACCTCCCCACACTGGCACCCCTTCCCTTCTGAGTCCTACCCTTCCCTGGGGACCCCCCCCATTCCAGTCCCTCTCACTTTGGGTGACCTGTGGTGACAGGTCTCTTGCCCCTGGTCGCCTGGATCTTGAGCCTAGGGAAGGCCAAGGAGCCTTGAGGAGCTGCCTTGCACTAAGCAGGTGGACACGCCTATGTGTTTCTTACCAGAAGTTGCCCCAGGGTAAAGAAGTGGAGGGCATGAATATCCTGGGCCTGGTGGTCTTCGCCATCGTCTTTGGCGTGGCCCTGCGGAGGCTGGGGCCTGAGGGAGAGCTGCTCATCCGCTTCTTCAACACCTTCAACGACGCCACCATGGTGCTGGTGTCCTGGATTATGTGGTGGGTGCTGAGGCTGCGTGACTTTAAGCAAGTGCCTTGCTATCTCTGTGCCTCAATAGCCACTTCTAGGGCCCGGTCTTTTCCTTGTGGTGCTGACCTGCCCCCTCCATTAGCAAGAGTATCAAGACTGGTTTGGGGGTGCCCTGCTTGAGTGGACGTGGTGACACCCCATGGTTTTCAGAACAAACACTACAGTCATGCCAGGGAAGAGCTCCATAAAGGATAAGGTGAAGGAAGACATGTCCATGCCCAGAGCTGAGCAGTGACACTCAACTTGACTTCAAAAATGAGTTAAAGCTGACATCAATGGCTCATGGCTGTAATCCTAGGTACTCGGGACACTGAGACCTGAGGACTCTGGTTTGAAGCCAGCCTGGGCAGGAAAGTCCATAAGACTCTTACCTCCAGTTCACCAGCAAAAAGCCAGAAGTGGAGCTGTTGTGGCACAAGGTCCTAAAATTCAAGCCCTAGTTCTGGGACACACACACACACACCCCTTTAGTCATGTCCTGATCATGTATTGGATCTGGTCACATCATCTGCTATAACAAACCAGAAAACAAATGGCTTACAGGATAGCAGCTGGATTTGGGGGTCAAGTTCAAATCTGAGCACATGGGCTTTTATCTCTTGGCTGCACCACCTTCAAAGAAAAGGGCCTGGCCTGGAAGAAGTAACGGAGGATCACCCAGGCCTGGGAGGCTTGGGTATGGTGCTCAGGTTTCTGCCTGCTATGTGGGGGTGAGTAGGCTGGGAAGGGCCTACGGGTGCACAATGCCCTGCCATTGTAAGCAGCTGTGGTCCTCTCTCCTGGGGGAACCAGGTACGCCCCTGTGGGCATCATGTTCCTGGTGGCAGGCAAGATTGTGGAGATGGAGAATGTGGGGCAGCTCTTCACTAATCTTGGAAAATACATCCTGTGCTGTCTGCTGGGCCACGCCATCCATGGTCTCCTGGTCCTGCCTCTCATCTACTTCGTCTTCACCCGCAAAAACCCCTACCGTTTCCTCTGGGGCATCCTGGCACCGCTGGCCACTGCCTTTGGCACCTCTTCCAGGTGAGCCTCACCCCCTGGGCAGGATCCTCATACAGAAATAGGAATGGAAGCCAGGCACTGGTAACTTATGCCTATAATCCTAGCTACTCAGGAGGCTGAGATCTGAGGATCATGATTCAAAGTCAGCCTCAGCAGGAAAGTCTGTGAGACTCTTATCTTCAATAAACCACTAGAAAACTGGAAGTGGTGCTGTGGCTTAAGCAGTAGAGTGCTCACCTTAGCTGAAGAGCGCAAAGACAGCGCCCAACACCAACACACACAAAAAAAGAGGAGCTGGGAATGTGGCTCAGTGGCAGAGTGCTTGCCTCGTAGCATGCATGAAGCCCTGGGTTCAATTCCTCAGTACCACATACACAGAAAAAGCTTAAAGTGGTGCCGTGACCCAAGTGGTAGAGTGCTAGCCTTGAGCAAAAGAAGCTCAGGGACAGTGCTCAGGCCCTGAGTTCAAGCCCCAGGACTGGCAAAAAACAAACAAAAACCCTTTTCATCCTTCCATCTCCCCTTTCCCACCAGCCTGGTTCTAGGGGCTCAGGTTTGACTCTAATCCAACCTTCTCCTGTTCATCCTGTCTTCTCTGAACCTTCCTGCCTGTGACACCCCCCCAAAAAAAAACCCACAAAAAACAAAACTAATCCTGCTTGGAGCCTGCCAACACCTGGGCTCTGCAGGGTCAGGTGTGATTTTTAATTTTTATTTGTTTTTATTTTATTGTCAGTCATGGGGCTTGAACTCTGGGCTGGGCGCTGTCCCTGAGCTCTTCAGCTCAAGGCTAGTGCTCTACCCCTCGAACCCTAGCACCACTTCCAGTTTTTGACTGGTTGAGATAAGGGTCTCCCGGGGACTTTCCTGCCCAGGCTGGCTTTGAACCACGTTCCTCAGATCTCAGCCTCCTGAGTAACTAGGATTACAGGTGTGAGCCACCAGCGCCCAGCTTTAATTTTTTGTTTTAGTAGTGGGATTTGAACTCACAGCCTCAAGCTTGCTCGACTAGCAACACCACTTGAGCCACATCCCCAGTCCCCTCTTTCTTTATTCTGCTTGAGACAAGGTCTCCCATAGTTTAAGTGGGAATTTCTGTAGACATTTTGAGAGACAGGAGTCTTGGGAATGGTCTTTGTTTACAGACCTGGTTTCAGTTGGGATGTGGGCGTGGCCTGTGTTGTGGACCCCCCCCAGGTCTCATTAAAGTGTGGGTGTGGTTTCACCTGGGAAAGGGTGTGGTCTACCTTAGGGGCGTGGGCACTGTCGTGTGGGCGTGGCCATCGGAGGGCGTGGCTCTAATGGGTTGGTGTGGGCGTGGCCTCACGGTCGTCCCTCCTTCCCCCCCACCCCGGTCTGGTCTCCCGCAGCTCTGCCACCTTGCCACTGATGATGAAGTGCGTGGAGGAGAAGAATGGCGTGTCCAGGCACATCAGCCGCTTCATCCTTCCCATCGGTGCCACGGTGAACATGGATGGCGCGGCACTCTTCCAGTGCGTGGCCGCCGTGTTCATCGCGCAGCTCAACCGGGAATCCCTGAACATGGTGAAGGTCATCACCATCCTGTGAGTGCGAGGCGGCCGCGGGGGTCCTCCTGGTCCCGGTGTCCTCCCACCCCGGCATCATCTGCCTCATGTCCCCTCCTCCAGGATCACGGCCACCGCGTCCAGCGTGGGGGCAGCCGGCATCCCCGCGGGAGGAGTCCTCACCCTCGCCATCATCCTGGAAGCCATCAACCTCCCCGTCAAGGAGATCTCCTTGATCCTGGCTGTGGACTGGCTAGTGTGAGCTGGGGGGCCCAGGGGGACCCCGGGCATAGGGGACAAGCCAGAGTGGGCAGAAGAGGAAAGCCCACCCGGCCTGGATTGCTAGAGGGAGCAGGTGGGACCTTGAGCTTTCCAGGAAGAAGGAAGACTGTCATCTTTGGGGATCTAAGAGGAACCCTAGAAGGTGGCAAACGGGAGTGGTTAGTTGATATGATGCAGGCCTGGCAGCTTGGGTTCCAATCCTAGTGCCACCAACTGTGTGGCCTTGAGCAAGTAATTTCCCTAGGTCTCCATTTCTCTGTCTGTAAAATACAGAGAAGACTGTCTTAAGGACTAGATGACTGATTTAATATAATGTACACACACACACACACACACACACACACCCTTACCCTTTCAGACTGCCCCCAATAACCTGATAAATGTTATGTAGTTGTTTAGGATCATAATTACACTATTAAGAGTATAAATATTTGGGCAGCATGGTAGTGTATGCCTGTTATCCCAGTACTCAGAAAGCTGACACAGGAACTAGGATGGTGCCCATGATTTATGAATGTAGTTTGAAATACTTAATAAGACTGAAATCTACAGGATCAAGGTTTGAGCCAACCTGGGCAGAAAAGTCTATGACTTCATCTCCAGGAAATAGCAGGGGCTGCCAGGTACTGGTAGCTCATACCTGTAATCCTAGCTACTCAGCAGGCTGACATCTGAAGATGGAGGTTCAATGCTAGCCCAGGCAGGATAATTCTTGAGCCTTTTTTTTTTTCTTGTCAGTCATGGGGCTTGAACTCTGGGCCTGAGTGCTGTCCCTCAGGTCTTCAGCTCCCAAGGCAAGCGCTCTACCGCTTCAGCACAGCACCACTTCCGGTTTTCTAGTGGTTTATTGGAGATAAGAGTCTCATGGGGGGCTGGGAAGGTGGCTCAGTGGTAGAGCACTTGCCTTGCATGCTTGAGGCCCTGGGTTCAATTCCTCAGCATCACATAAGAAAAAAAGCCGGTAGTGGCGCTGTGTGGCTCAAGTGGTAGAGCGCTAGCCTTGAGCTGAAGAGCTGAGGGACAGTACCCAGGCCCAGAGTTCAGGCCCCATGACCGGACCCCCCTCCCAAAAAAAAAAAAAGAGTCTCATGGACTTTCTTGCCTCGGCTGGCTTTGAACTGTGATCCTCAGATCTCAGCCTCCTGAGTAGCTAGGATTACAGGCGTGAGCCACCTGCGCCCGGCTCTTTTTTTTTTTTTTTTTTTTGCCAGTCCTGGGGCTTGAACTCAGGGCCTGGGCACTATCTCTGAGCTTCTTTTGCTGAAGGCTACCACTTGAGCCACAGTGCCACTTCCGGCTTTTTCTGTGTATGTGGTACTGAGGAATCAAACCCAGGGCTTCATGCATGCTAGACAAGCACTCTACCACTGAGTTCCACATTCCCAGCCCCAATTCTTGAGACTCTTATCCCCAATTAACCACCAAAAAGCCAGAAATGGAGCTATGGCTCAAGTGGTAGAGTGCCAGGTCCTGAGTTTAAGCCTCAGTACCAGCAGGGGGCAAAAAAAAAAAGCAAAGTCTGGATATAAGATTTAAGTGGTGGGCTGGGAAGGTGGCTCAGTGGTAGAGTGCTTGCCTTGCATTCATGAGGCCCTGGGTTCGATTCCTCAGCACCACATAAGCAAAAAGAAAAAAAAGCCAGAAGTGGCGCTGTGGCTCAAGTGGTAGCTGGGGGACAGTGCCCAGGCCCAGAGTTCAGGCCCCACAACTGGACCCTCCCCCCCCCCCAAAAAAAAGATTTAAGTGGTTGGGCTGGGAAGGTGGCTCAGTGGTAGAGTGCTTGCCTTGCATGCATGATGCTCTGGGTTCAATTCCTCAGTACCACATAAGCAGAAAAAGGTGCAAGTGGCGCTGTGGTTCAAGTGGTAGAGCGCTAGCCTTGAACTGAAGAGCTGAGGGACAGTGCCCAGGCCCTGAGTTCAGGCCCCATGACCAGCAAAATAAAAATTAAAAAAATAAAAATAAAAAGATTTAAGTGGTAGAGCATCAGCTAAACACAGAGAAGTACTGCCAAAGAAACAAAAACCAAACAGAACAGATGAAAATACAAATGATTGGCCAGGCACCAGTGGTTCATAGCTATTCAGGAGACTGAGATCTGAGGATCGAGGTTCAAAGTCAGCCTGGGCAGGAAAGTCCATGAAACTCTTTTTTTTTTTTTTTTTTTGTCGCTCGTGGGGCTTGAACTCTGGGCCTGGGCACTGTCCCTCAGCTCTTCAGCTCAAGGCGAGCGCTCTACCACTTGAGCTACAGCACCACTTCCGGTTTTCTGGTGGTTTATTGGAGATAGGAGTCTCACGGTCTCTCCTGCCTGGGCTGGCTTTGAACCGCGATCCTCAGATCTCAGCCTCCTGAGTAGCTAGGATTACAGGCGTGAGCCACCGGCGCCCGGCTTCCATGAAACTCTTATCTCCAATAAACCACCAGAAAGCCAAAAGCGGTGCTGTGGCTCAAGTGGTAGAGTGCTCGCCTTGAGCTGAAGAGCTGAAGGAAAGTGCCCAGGCCCAGAGTTCAAGCCCACAACCGACAAAAACAAACAAAAAAAGAAACTACAAAAGCTTGCAGGGGAAGAGTTGGGTGGCTGGGCCTGGGCTTCCTCTGGCCTCTTCCTTCCCTCTCAGTACCTCATTTCTTGTCCATTTTAGGGACCGGTTCTGTACCGTCATCAACGTGGAAGGTGACGCTTTGGGGGCGGGAATCCTCCAGAATTACGTGGATGGTACAAAGTCACAGAGCTCTGAACCCGAGCTACTCCAGGTGAAGACTGAAGTACCACTCAACCTGTACGCGGTCCCCACAGAGGAAGGGAACCCCCTCCTCAAACAGCCTCGGAGCCCCAGTGAGGATGCTGCCACCTTCGAGAAGGAATCCGTCATGTAATTCCCGGGAGGGCCTGCTGGGGGTGGAGGGACACTGGACAGTGAGGTCCCTAAGGGTAGATTCATGGACAAATCGCAGTTCTAGGAGATAGTCGGGGCTCCTGGAAATTGGGGACCTTGTTGCTGAACTCTATGTACTTGTAGGAACCCGGATCTCCTGAGTCCTCAACTCTTGTCTCCACCCAAAGCGAAAATATTCTGCCCCAACCCAGAGCTACACAGCTCTCCCCTGGTGCCTGGCCCCATGACTGGCACAAGTGGGTGAGAATTTTTACACTTTTGAATGAGGATGGCCGGGCCTCGTCATGTGGGCTGTAACAGTGCCTTTAGCTGTGGTGTGTGTGTGTGTGTGTGTGTGTGTGTGTGTGTGTACGCGCGCACGCGCGTGCGCATGTAGGGGCGGGCTCACGCGGTGCTCTGACCACCAAACCCTCCAGGGTACATCCCATAATGTCCCCAGGCCATGTACCTCCCACTGCTACCCCCAATAACAAACACTCCAGGAACTCTGGGGGAAAGACCAAGAAAAAAATACTATCCCTCCAGAAGACACTATTTGGCAATAAAATTATCAAGTGTATTTAATTAGGTGTTTTAAGAATTGGACTAAGCCAGGAGCCAGTGGCTCATGCCCGTAATCTTAGCTACTTGGGAGGCTGAGATCTAAGGACTGAGGCTCAAAGCTAGCCTGAGCAGGATAATTTATGAGACTCTTATCTCCAGTTAACCACCAAAAAGCCAGCAGTGGAGCTGTGGCTTAAGTGGTAGAGTGCCAGCTTTGAGAAAAAAAGCCAAGCAAGAACATAAGACTGGGGCTGGGGAGGTGGCTCAGTGGTAGAGTGCTTGCCTTGCATGAATGAGGCCCTGGGTTCGATTCCTCAGCACCACATAGGCAGAAAAAGCCAGAAGTGGTGCTGTGGCTCTAGTAGTAGAGCACTAGCCTTGAGCTGAAGAGCTGAGGGACAGCGCCCAGGCCCAGAGTTCAGGCCCCACAACTGACCAATAAAAAAAAAAAAAGAACATAAGACGGTGAGTCAAAGCCCCAACATTACCATAAAATAATAATTAATGAAGCTGGGGGCCAGTGGTTCACACATGTCATCCTCGCTATTCAAGAGGCTGAGATGTGAGGATTGTAGTTTAAAGCCAGCCAGGGCAGAAAAGTCTGTGAGACTCTTTTTTTTTTTTTTTTTTTTGGTCGGTTGTGGGGCTTGAACTCTGGGCCTGGGCACTGTCCCTCAGCTCTTCAGCTCAAGACAAGCGCTCTACCACTTGAGCTACAGCGCCACTTCCGGTTTTCTGGTGCTTTATTGGAGATAGGAGTCTCATGGTCTCTCCTGCCCAGGCTGACTTTGAACCGCGATCCTCAGATCTCAGCCTCCTAAGTAGCTAGGATTACAGGCGTGAGCCACCAGAACCCGGCTGTGAAACTCTTATCTCCAATGAACTACCAGAAAACTAAGTGGAGCTGTGGCTCAAGTGGTAGAGCACTAGCCTTGAGTGAAAAAGTTCAGGGACAGTGCTCAGGTCTTGGAGTTCAAGCTCCATGAATGACCCCCCCCCAAATGGGAAAAATATCCTATGCAATTTAATTTCTCCTTTTTTCGACATTAGATTTGAACTCAAGACATTGCAGTTGCTTGGCAGGTGCGCTATCACTTTAACCATGCCCATTCTGACCACATGCCTAGTAACTTTAGCGTTTTCTCTCCCAGGATAGGGTCTTGTGTTTCTTAAGGATGTCCTAGAAGGATACACTACCCACATAGCTGAGATAAATGAAATGCACTACCACACATCCCGTTTATGATTTGAGACGAGGTCGCATTAAGTTTTTGCCAAGGCTGGCCTGGAACCTCTATCCTCCAGATCTCCAGCTCCTGAGGAGGCTGAGATTACAGACATTTGCCATTGGGCAATTTCAAACAGGTTTTTAAAGCTACTGAACTGTCTTCAGTGAAATCCTTGCAAGTCATTCAGAAGGATGGTGAGTGTGTGTGTGGGGGGGGTAAGCCACTGCTGCCTCCTCCAGGGACTGGGACTCAAACCTGGAACCCTTCAATAGCTGGGCACCAGGTAACACTCACCAGTGCTAACACACGCAGGGTGCAGCTGCAGTCATCAGAGATCTTGGTGACTTGGTTCACTTGGGTTGATTCTATCTGGTGTTGGTAGGGAGGTTCAGGGATTACAGAAGGAGAGGAGCCTGGTACAAGAGACCCTGCACAGGCCCTTTAGACCTTATGCTCATATCCAGGCTATCAGCAATCCCATTTTCTCTGTTCTGTAAAGAACTCCCCAATCTGGCCCTTTCTGCTGCACCCCATGCTATATGCACCACCTGGTCCAGTGATATCAGCCTCCCCTCCCCCTTTGCCCAACCTTGGACCTTCTTGCCACTTTAGTCTGTTCCCAGCATGACCACCAGAGGGCGCCAGTTTCCATTTGGGGTGGCCGCCATTTCTAATGCCAAGTCTCAGAAAAAGCCAAGGCCCACCAGCCTCACCTCCCATTTTCCTGCCTTCCTCCCCACTTCCCACTCATTCCTTCATTCTCTCTCCAGCATACCAGGCCTCTCCTGCCTCCGGGCCTTGGCACTAGCTATTCACAGCCTGGACACTCCTCCTTTCCCCCATCTCTACTTGACGCCTTCTCAGCCATTGCTTAAATGTCACCTCCATCTCGTTCCCCACGCTGCTCTGTGGGCACCTATTCTATTCTAGTTGCTCATAGGTTTATTTTATTTACTTACTTAGGTCTTTTAAGACAAGAATACGCCACATAGCCCAGGCTGGTCTCAAACTTGAGATCCTCCAGACACACCCTCTTGAATGCTTTATTTACTTTTGCAGTGCTGGTTAGCGCCAAACAAACAATACTTTGGGCCTGTCATGTGTTTGTAAGACTGGCTAGTTTATTACACTGGTGGATTACTACTGTACTGCACTGCACAGGCCTGGCCCCACATCTCAGGAGCTCAGGATTGGCAGTGAATGAGTAAACAGGGGTCCAGCTGTTCCAAGGCTGCCTGTCTGTGAGAAGCTGGCTGCCTACCAGGTATATGACCTTGGGGGGCTGCCAATTTTCCCAGCTGGGGGAACAATGGCTCTGTTATGCCTTATCCCAAGGCCACTGGAGGTCATGTAAGACCTGAGGAAAAGTACCCCATGGTCACTCCCCTGGGGCCCATCCCACCCCCTCCTCAACAAACCAGGCCTAGTATTCACACTTGTTATCCTAGCTAGTTGGGAGGCTTAAGTAGGAGGATCAAAGTCAAAGGCTAGCCCTGGGCAAAAATAAATGATCTCTATCCAAAAAGAAATAAGGCCCTGGGTTTGATCCTCAACCCTGAAGGGGGGAAAAAACTCACAAATTCAATTATCATCCTAATCATAATTCAAAGGAAAAATGAAAGGATGGTCATTTGGAATAAACTGTTGTTTTTTTTTGGTCCGTCATGGGGCCTGAACTGTGGGCTCCCTCAGCTCTTCATCTCAAGGCTAGTGTTGTACCACTTGGGCCATAGCGCCACTTCTGGCTTTTTCTGCTTATGTGGTAGTGAGGAATCAAACCCAGGACCTCATGCATGCAAGGCAAGCACTCTGCCACTGAGCCACCTTCCCAGCCCATGGAATAAACATTTTCATATGTAAACTTGTGGGGCTACCTGCCAAAGATCACAGTCAAGCCTGTGACTTCTGTAAGCTTGGGTGGTGGAAATGCCTTGTATTGGTGTCTAATTACCCAGAGCCGCTTGTTTACAAGGCGATTTGATGATATGGTAGAGAGTCACTGCCAAGATTCTAACAGTACAGAATACAGACATCCCTCATTTCACACAAAGCTGGTACTTCCTGGAAAATGCCCAGCCCCTAATCCCTTTCAAAAGGACTTGGTATATTTACAAGGGAGAATTTGATTCTGTGCTCCAATTGTTGCTGCTTGCATGTTCACCTGCAGGGAGGCTGGAGTCTAGCTGGTTTGTTGCAGTACAGTGCAGCTTTTAAAATGTTCATTACTTCTGGCTGCTTCATATTAGTAATTAACACTTACTAGTTGGTGACTTACACCTGTCATCCTAGCTACTCAGGAAGCTGAGAGCTGAGGATTTAGATTTGAAGCCACCCAGTCAGGAGAGTCTGTGAAACTTTTATTTGGTTGGTCATGGGGCTTGACCTCTGTCCCTAAGCTCTTCAGCTCAAGGGCAGAGCTCTATCACTTAAGCCATAGCACTACCTCCGGGTTTTGGTGGTTAATCAGGAGAAAAGAGTCTGATGGACTTTCCTGCCCTGATTTGCTTTGAACTCTGATCCTCAGATCTCAGCTTCCTGAGTATTCCTGAGATTATAGGCATGAGCTACCGGCACCTGGCATGCATGAAATTTCTCTTGCATGAACCACCAAAAAGCCAGAAGTGGCTCAAGTGGTAGAGTGCTAGCCTTGAGTGAAAAATCCAAGAGCCCTGAACTAGTTCAGCCACCACTGCGATACCAGCACACATACATACAAAAACCAAAGACTTGATAAAGGCAAGTTTCAATAGTCCATATTCTAATATAAACTCAGTTCATCTTAATTGTTAGTAGGAGTTTCCTATCATAGCCAAATTTAGCTGACTATAATTGTTTGGCTATATAAAACCAATGAGACAGCATGGTAAGGCCCTGAATGATTTTTGCCATTCATGAATAGTAGAGAGAAAGGTCCCCCAAAACACTGTGGTAGCACTGAGAAATTACTAACCCCTTGGGAGCTCAGGTCAGCTAATAATGATTCTCATTCTGCCTCTGAGCTACATCCTCAGCTCAGTGCTTTTCAAGAAATACACCTCAGGGTTGAGAATGGTGGGGGATACTTGTAATCCAGCACTAAATAGCCTGCTGCAAGAGGATCCTTTTTGTTTCTTAGTTCTTCCATACTGAGGTTTGAACTGCCACCCGAGTCATGCCTCCAACCTTTTGCCTTATTTTTCAGGTTGCGTTTTGCAGTTTTGCTTTAGGCTGTTCTCAGACCAGGATCTCTGTGGAGCTAGGATCATAGACATGTCAACCAGGCCTGTTTTCTTTGTGTAGGAGGTCTCACTAATGTTTTGGGTGGGTTAGCCTCTGATACCTTCCCAATCTCTGTTGCTGCCTTTTTTTTTTTTTTGTCCGGTTGTGGGGCTTGAAATCGGGGCCTGGGCACTTCCCTAAGCTGTTTTGCTCAAGGTTAGCGCTCTACCACTTCAAGCCACAGCTCTACTTCTAGTTTCCAGGTGGTCATTTGGAGACCAGTCTCACAAACTTCTCTGCCCGGGCTGGCTGTGAAATGTGATCCTCAGATCTCAGCCTCTTGAGTAGCTAGGATGACAGGTGTGAGCCATCTGGGCCTGGCTGCTTCTTGAGTAGCTGGGATTACAGATATGAGTCAATGAATCCAGCTGAAGGGCCATTTGAACCAGGTGTTCAAGGCCAGCCTGCTAGGATGAGGAAAGACAGTAAAGCCCCTACTCGTTCATTCATTCATGCATTTATTTATTTATGCTGGCACCATGCCTTGAACTCAAGGCTTTTGCTTTTTTTTTTTTTTTTTTTTTCACTCATGGCTAGTGCTCTACCAACTGAGCCTCTAGCCTGGCTTTTTTTTTTTTTTGTCGTGGGGCCTGAACTCTGGGCCTGGGCGCTGTCCCTCAGCTCTTCAGCTCAAGGCTAGCACTATACCACTTGAACTACAGCACCACTTCCAGCTTTTTCTGCTTATGCAGTGCTGAGGAATCGAACCCAGGGCCTCATGCATGCAAGGCAAGCACGCTACCACTGAGCCACCTTCCCAGGCCCTAGCCTGGCTTTTTGCTAGTTAATTGGAGATACAGTCTTGAGGTTTTGTCTGCCTAGGCTGGTTCCAAACTATGATTCTCAGATCTCCATCTCCTAAATAGCTGGAATATAAGCCTAAATCACCCAGCTACATTTTTAATTTTAAAGTGGAATTATTTTAAGCCTTATTAGTAACATACAGACTGTATTAACACTTGCACATAATTTAGAAATAAATACAGACGTGATATGTTGGGAGCTCACTCTTAGATGCTTGATCAAGACACATGGGGGTTCCCCAAAGTCCCCCTCCCCTGTGTACCATTTATGGAGGTGGCTATAGAGAGGAAGTACGGGCTCTGGAGCCTGCAGTCCTGCCTTCATCCCCCCACCTGCCAGCTGGATAGGAACGTGAGGAGCTGGGGCGAGGGAATTGGCCACTGTGGCCTCAGTCCCTGAAAAGGGGGGGGGGGAAGGGTCAGAGTAGCAGCGATCACTTGAGTGAGGGGTCCATCAGGCCACGGCGCCCTCTAGTGGGCGGGTCTCACAAGCAGGAGCGCCGAGAACCCGGGGGGGGGGGGGGAACTGAGGCAAAGGGCTACCGCCGCAGGACCCCCTAACCCGGGATCGGAAGTCGGAGGACTGCACCGGGACCCAAGAGCGGCCGGTTCTGCCCGCCCAGGGCCCTCAGCGCTTGATGCATCCCATTTTTCCCCGTCGGCACGGACCCCCCCTCCAGGGGCGGCTTCAGCCACCGGCCAGACTCAGGAGCGCGGGATTGGGGTACTCGGGGTTCTCGATGACGCCGGGCCCGAACTTGAGCTCCAGGAAGCGACGGTAGTTGTTGGGGGCCTGCGCCACGAAGCCGGCGAAGGGCAGCGGCACGAGCGGCTGCAGGAAGTGCTCGGGGAACTCGACGTCCTGCCGGTGGTCCAGCCAGGTGTCCTTGGTCATGACGCCGTGGCGCGGGTAGAAGGGCCACAGGTCCACGTGCAGGTGGTTGCTCTCGCTGTACTGCACGCGGAAGAAGTCGCCCTCCACCGCCTTCTCCCACACGAAGCCGCGCTCGTCCACCACCGAGCCCGCCTCGGCGCCGCGCAGCTGCTCGCAGTTGCCCACGTCCTCCAGGTAGATGCCCAGGTCCACGTCGTAGTCCCAGGGGATGATGTCGCCGTGGCGCGCGGCGCCCAGCAGCGAGCCGC